GACTTTCAAGCCTCATAACTCGAAAAGTAAAAACATATTTTATTATAGTGTTTTAGAAAGCTCTCGAAATGAGGTACAAGAATATGTAATAAAAAATGGGGGATCCTATTTAAAAAATTTAATATAATGTTCGTCTTTTTTGACCTTGACAACCCCACCCAATGATACCATCTTAAGTCCCCTTCGAAACCATACAACTTTTGTCTGAAATATTTTTTTGTTTTGATCTTAATCGTCCCAGGCAAATATCTCGAAAAATATGAAAGTTGTGAAAAATATGAAATATTTTTTTATTCAGTATTATTAAAGTATTATTAAAGACCAATATTCGGTCATTTTTAGTAATTATATCTTATTAACTATTGCGAAAATTGCAAAATGATATAAAACTTTATTGTTCCTCTTGACCCATTCTACGCCCCTAATGCGGCTCCGACCTTACTTAACAGACACCTGTGTAATATAAGCCTATTTTTTAAATATAAGTTTTATAACTTTATGAGTCCAATCCCAATAGCTTTCTAGATGATTAGCTACGTACTTTGCTCTTGTTTTGCTTGTGGTTTTACATGGGGGATGATAGTGAGTCTTTCCTAGTAAGAAACACAGTATAACCAGTAAATCATTCTTATTATTGTTTGTCAATGTTAAATAGAAATAATATGATCATTGTTACACTATATTACATCCGATCCGAAAATTTAAAATCATATTATTCGGATAATCGATCCGAATATCCGAATTATTCGGATCCGCGGATCTGAATTTAGATCTGAATTTGACTCCATGTCATCTGGATTTAGATCCATGTCCAGAAAGAAAGAAAACATCGATGTATTTAATGAATTTTAACATAAGTTATTTTTTAAATAAAAATTGAATTTTGACTCACATATATAATTGAAGAAAAATAAAATTAAAAAATATAAATATAGATTCACACAGAATTGTACAAGCACTTGAAATCTAATTAGACTGTTTAAGGCATTTGTTTGTATAGGTTGTGTTTCTCACATATACGACCTATAAGATTTAATCTTGTTTATAAATATAAATGTTTAGATCAAATTCTCAATCTTAAAATAGTAATAACAAAGATGTATAAGGTTAATAAGAGAAATATTTGTATTTTACTTTTACATTCAGATTAAATAAGTGTATAATATAATGACTTTAATATACACTCAGTCCGCACTAATATACGTACTAACCGAATTCGCTATAAGTTTACTACGATTCCGGAACCGAATCTGAGAACCGAATTTGGGTTCGACTTTCATTATTCTGGTCTCAGATTCGGAAATCTTAGAAAATTCGAATCTTCGGATAACTCAAATTTGAAGCATTACATTTATTTGAATAAACGTACGGATATCTTTAAATCCGGATAGCTTTAAATCCGAATCAATCTTGAAGCTCTAGTATGTAATAAAGAACCTATGACTGAAATAACTAGTCATCGAGTTCAAAGATCATTATTGATTTATTATTGATTTATTGTCAAGTGATTTAAATTGCGTAAATAAGATCAGTAAGAAGTAAATGATCACTCAGTTTGAAGGCTAGCTATATTCTTTTATGTTAGGAAGTTAACAGCTCGCATTGTGTAAACCAGGTTTTAAGAACCAATAGTTGGTCTGCCTGTATCATAAGAGAAGATCAGTAGTAGAATAAAAATATTTGAAGTAGTTGGCTTTGTCAGATACTGCCCTTGCATGGTCAGTCAGCAATTTTTTTATAACAAACTTGCAAGAATAACAAATATCTGTCTTTGACAATATTCAATAACGCAATCATTGATGATTCAGATGATAGCTACTCTTGCAAATTTTAATATTATCACAACATCGAAAATGACTCGAGCGGAGTCAAAACGTTTGTTTTATCGTTTTGTATAATAATTTATTGAATTTTAATTTAATTAAAGTTTATTACTACATTACTGGCTCTTTGCTCTTCTTTTGCATATATTATTTCATACATGGATTTAAAAATTTTTTTCTAATCTTATGTTGTAGTATAAACTACAGCTACCAAATTGTTACAGTGAAAATAATCATTAATTTAATTACCTAATATGCCGACGGAAATATCTTGCAAAAGAGAATGGATTTTGGTAAAAGCATTTTCTCCTTCGGCGAAATCTGCCGCAAGAATCCTCACCTGGATTTTTGGATTTATTAACAGCATTTCGTCTTTTGTATATTTAAGTTTTTCTAAGTTTCTGCTGATTAATATTAAATTCATGTTTTTTGCTGCTAATTCTTTAGCATAAGCTTTACCAATACCGTCAGTTGAGCCAGTGACAACTAAAATGTTTATGATTATTTTTAAACATAATTTAAAAGTTTATAAATAGATAAATAAGATTACCGAGAATTTTAAAAATTATTTAAAAAATAAAAAAAATGGGAATCGCGCTGTAAATAGTATGCTTTTTCATATAATGAAATGTAATACGTA